CCACTCACCTCAGCCTCCCAAAGGTGTGGGATTACAGGCTGAGCCACTGAGCCCAGCTAGCACTAGGTTTTATGAAACAACTTCTAAGTAAACTAAGAGAGGACATTCACTCTCACACAATCATAGCTGGAGACCTAAATACTCCACTAACAGCTTTAGACAGATTATTGAGGCAAAAAAAAACAACAAGGAGATACTGAATATACATTCTATTCATCAGCACATGAAACATACTCCAAGATTGATCACATTTTCAGACGTGAACAAATTGTAAAAGATTGAAATAATACCATGCATCATTTCAGATCACAGTGGAATAAAAATAAATATTGCCACCAAAAGATCCCCCTAAAACACACAAAGACATGGACGCTAAACAACATGCTGCTGAACAACTTCTGGGTAAACATGGAAATCAAGACAGAAATAAAGAGATCCCTGGAAACAAAGAAAAACAAAGACAGATCTGATCAGAATCTCTGGAAAACTACAAAATCTGTATTAAGAGGAAAATTCATAGCTTTGCATGCACACATCATGAAAATGGAAAGATAATAAGTAAGCAACCTAACATCACACTTAAGGGAGCTGGAAAGACAAGATCACCTATATCCCAACTTCAGCAGAAGAATTCAGATCACCAATATAAATTACAGTTGCAGGATATAGAAGACAAAAATATTATAGAAAGGCTCAACAAGACAAAAAGCTGATTCTTTTAAAGGATAAATAAAATTGATGGACCCCTGATGAGATTGACTAAAAAAAAAGAGAGAAAATCCAAATAAACACAATTAGAAACACAAAAGGCAAAGTCACAACTGACCCTGAAAAAATTCAAAGGATTATCCAAGATTACTATGAATACCAGCATGTAAATAAACTAGAAAACCTAAATGAAGGACTTTCTGACATCACACAACCGCCTAAGGTGGAAATAAGAAGAAAATGAAACTCTAAACAGACTGGTAAAAATCCAGGAAATCAACTCAGTCCATATTCTTATGGACTCTCCACTAAAAAAAAAAAAATAAAAGCCCCAAACCAGATTGCTTCCCAGTTGACTTCTACAAGACATACAAGGAGGAGCTGATACCAATTTTACTGAAAGTATTCTAGGCAATCAAGAATGATGGAATTCTCCCCAACTTATCTTATGAAGCTATCATCATGCTGATACCCAAACCTGGCAAAGACTGAACAAGGAAAGAGAATTACAGACCAATCTCCTTGATGAACATAGACACAAAAATTCTCAATAAGAGTCTAGAAAATTGGATCCAATAACACATCTCAAAGATCATCCATCATGACCAGGTGAGCTTCATTCCTGAAATGTAGTACTGGTTCAACATTCACAAGACCACAAACATAATTTAGCACATTAATGGATATAAAACCAAGAACCACATGTTTATATCATTAAGTGTGGAAGAAGCATTTGGCAAAATCCAGCATTCCTTCTTGAGAAAAACCTTTGAGCACCGAGGCATAAAAGGAACATTCCTCAAAACGGTAAGAGCCATCTGTGATAAATCCACAGCCAATATTTTGCTCAATGGGCAGAGTTGGAAATATTCCCCCAAAGAATGGGAACAAGACAAGGATGCCCATGCTGGTGCCTCCTGTTCAACATAGTGCTGGAAGCCTCATCCAGAGCAATCAGGCAAGAGAAGGAAGTCAGGGGTATCCAGATAAGAAAGAGGAAGTTAAACTATTCTTCTTTGTGGACTATATGATTCTATACCTTGAAAACCTTAGGGAGTCTGTCAAGAGCCTCTTTGTACTGATAAACAACTTTGACAAAGTCTCAGACTATGAAATCAATGTGCAAAACACAGCTGGATTTATAAACACCCACAACCAACAGGCAAGGAACAAAATATTATAAAAATCACAATCCCATTCACAATAGCCACAAACAAAATGCATCCACATAACTAGAGAAGTGAAAGACTTTTTCCATGAAACTACAAAAACACTGCTCAAAGAAATCAAAGATGACACAAACAAATGAAAAAAAATTCCATGCTCATAGATTGAAAGAATCAATATTATCAAAATGTCCATCCTACCAAAAGGAATCTATGAATTCAATGTAATACCCATCAAATTACTAGCATCATTTTTCTCAGATCTGGAAACAACAATACAGAAATTCATATGGAAATAAAAAAGAATACAAATAACTAAAACAATTCTCAGCAAAAGGAACAAAATGGGAAGTATCAAACTTCCATACTTTAAACTTTATTACAAGGCTACAGTTACCAAAACAGCCTGGTACTAGTACAAGAATAGATACCTAGACCAATGGAACAGGACAGAGAT